ATCTTCGTCAGACCAAATTTCTAGGCCAATCAATGCTATGTGAATGCTTAAAGCTTTGTAAACCTGTGGGGTGAACACAGCTTCGATCAGAAACTCAGACACAAGTAAACCTTGAGAAACATTTCAAGACTAAAAGGCAACTGACATTGACCTCTACATGCAGGTGAAATGGAATATACTTGGGAATAATAATAATTTATTAAGCAGGAGAAGTAAAATGATAAAGAAGAACCAGGTGATTATTCTCTTTATTCAAGAGACAGAAGAGGAGGAGGACTAGAGGGAGATTTGACCCGCTGATCCTCCTGTTGCCTCCCTGATTTTAGCTGGTTATCAACTGTGAAGATGGTAAACAAGGCTAATAGGAGGGAAGCGGTACAAGATGAGTGGATTAAACTTCCTCCTAAGTGCCACAGTCTGGGTTCCTCTCTCCTGCTTTCTTTTCAGGGAACATGTTCACTAATCAGTTTAGTTTAGATTAGCATTATTGATCCATTTCTTTCTAATCTCCAAGTTCAGAACAATAACCACAGCCCTGAAAGCATCAGGCTACAGATTCACTGATTGAATTCATGCAACAGTTTTGGACTTACGTTCTTCCAACACAGCGGCTATATTCACATAATTTGCTTATTAACCTGGTTACTGAATTAACCCATTTTCTGGGATTGCCTTACACACTGGATCACAAGCTTACCAAATGACCTGGATTCACTGCACTCAAAGCCACAAAAGTTAGCATGCTTGTGGGAGTGCATCTCCAGGGTCTCTTCACCTGATTAAGCTTGTTGTGTGAACACAGCCAGAGAAAATCTGGGTGGTGGGGGTTGTTTTTTCAAACCCATAAAGGGAAATAACCTTTGCCATGTCCTCTTACCACATTCATATGGTTGACCATTTGAAATACTCTTGTCTTTACATGAGTCATGTTGTAGCCGTACTTCCTGAACTACAGGAAAGACAAAATGTTAAGTAGAGACCATAATTTTGGGATGAAGGGATTGAAGGAGAAGGAGAAAAAACATGTGAGGGAAAGGGAGAGACCTAAAAATCAGTAAACTTTTTATTCAGACAAAAAATAAATTATAATTTTATATCCAAGCAATCATATCTTTTGTGCTGATTTTTTAACCTGCATTTTTGCCATCAATATATTCACATTATTAGCTTTTCAGAACCGCACATCATTTTCTTCCTTGTTGAAGAAAATGTTGGTCATCCTATTTAAAAGCTTTCCTTAATTGGATGCTATATTTTCTTGGGAAGTGCAAGAGAATTGTTCTTCACTACACTAGCTCTAACATTATAGTAAGGCTACATTAACAGATTCGTGCAAGTCAGAAGCGAATCTCTCCCCTCCATCTTTACAGCCCAAGAAACTAGGGAGGGTCCCTTCTGAGACGTTGGCCCCTTCCCCATTCCTCCTGCAGACCCAGCAGCCTCTTGTCTGACCACTGTCTGGCCTGCGGCTCTTCTTCCTGCCTCCCAAGGTCATTCTCACATAATATCACACAGGCAGCAATGCTTTTACAAATTATCTTTTATGCCAGCTTTCTCCATCACAATGCGAGAAAGAAATGTGAAACTGTTTTGAAATCATAGTGCTGACTGAGCAATGTTGGGTGGAATGAGCACCATTAAACTAAGTGAATAGCAGGTAAAGGACTGTTTGCAAATTTGCAGACACTGTGAGTTTTGGTGAAAAATCATCGAATTAACAAAATTTCATTTTTCATTTTCACACGGATAGTTATTTTATAGCACAATAAGGAACTTACACTTTTGCAGTAAATAACTTTATATGGAAATACAATGTCATTGTAGTCAGACTGCTGAGGAGGAAGAAACTGAATTTAAATGACATCAACCTGAGACGAATTTACCTGAAAAGAATTTGCATAAGATGTTCCCTTTTGTAATAGTGCTAAAAGGGGAAGCTCAGACTGGTATCTGGGAGATAGCTTTATTCATGGACTCCTTTTGAGATCATGAACATAGTTTTATTTTGCTGGGAAAAAATGTGCACATCTTCAAAGAGGCCCCAGGTGTTATTTTTCCACAACTGCTGCATTGCTGCAAATGAGGTTGGACAAGCCAAATGTGGCTCTTACTTGTCTTTTACCCAAAGGCTAGAATGTATTAGAGCCAGTGGTAAGGGATACATTTATTTAATTTTCATTGGAGTATGAAAATTACACTAAGTAATTTTGACTTCTTGAACTAATTTCTTAACTGAAATTCAGTTAAGTTGAAATTCATACATGCACACATACATATGAAGGAAATCAATTTCAAATGCATATATTCATAAAAATAAAATGTTTTCTATTCGAGAAACATATTTGCAAAAACTGTGTCAAGCAGAAGTCGAAACAAAAAAGTATGTTGGGAGGCATGGATGCCAAAGTATATATTTATATTTCAGTGCAAGTTCAACAAACTGAATTTAACCGTTTTGAAATAAATGAGAAAATACAGGAAACCGAAACATACTACAGAGTTGCCCACCCACCCACTAATTAACTCAAAATTCTCCTCATTAA